CCTTCTCTCTCTCTCTCTCTCTGTCTCTCTCTCTCTCTCTCGGTGAAAGCTTAAGCAGCAATTAGCAGGTCTATGTGGGATTCGCTAAGTTAATTGAGAAGCTCCCCGTAGTCTTCTAATTAAAAATGTGCTAATTGGTAATGTAAGTGGAAGACTCTTATCGCTGAGATATAAGTGAGATGCGTACTACAGTTATTTTTTTTTGTTATTAACAATGGATTTTAAGTTAACATAATTAAATAAATTAATTTATGTGACTGTGCATTTTTTCTTTCTTTAAACGTTACTCTTTTAAACTAAAAGAAAATGTACAGACATATTATTAAATTTTTTAATCTTAGGAACTTAATTTTAAATATTAAAATTTTAAAAAGGCGCGAATAACAGATATTGTTAATACTGTTAATTATAATCAATTACATGTACTTTTCTGTAGATATTCAATAAAAGTACCAAGCAATTATTTTTGAAGATTTCAATTTTTTTAAATTAATACTTTTTCTTGTATGAAATAGAATTTAAAAATTTTTTTACTAATATTTCATCAGAACAAAGGAAGAAAATGAAATTGATGAAAAATTAGAAATTTCCAAAATCGTATTTTTAATAAAAAAATGAAAGGATGTTAATTTAAAAATTAGGATAATTAGAAATAACGATTTCCGATTTTGGAACCATATTTTCGCTAATATTAGCAATCTAAACAAGCGGTCACAATAGTCAGAGTGGTAAATGAGTCTTGAACAAATCATGAAGAAATCATAATGAGAGGTTGTCGAATTAATTGTAAAGGTCATTGTCTGAGTCCATAAAAGCTTGGTGCCACTCAGGATACGATACGGCATACTATCATTATTATTATTATCACATCCGAAATACTGTGTTTTTCATTCTGACATTTTATCCAGCTAATAAATCATGTCCAATATAGAATATAATATTATGGGTTTCATGGTCACGATGGATACTAATGGTTTTTAATTTGTTTTATTTTTTAGGTGAATCCTGATCCAGAAATCCAGTCTAAACTGGGCAACTATTTGTTGGTGAAGCACCTGCTCGACGACTCTAAGCGCCTAATTGGCATCGATGGAATTCCGCCGAGTCCAGCTCCTCCCACCCCGACAAGTCCGCCCTCCACCCACAAGAGTGGTAGCTCTAGTGGTAGTAGCTCCAGCAAGAGGGATTGTTCCCCGTCTTCGGGGCAGGAGTTTAAGAAACCCGGTGGTTTCCGTAGCACGAGTAGCTCGAGCGCGTCTTCCTCTTCGAGCGCGAACCACCAGCAGCGGGGTGGTTTTGTCAAGCCCGCCGACGGAAAGCCGCCCTACGGTGGACGGGGCGGCTATTCCGGCCCGTCTATCAAGCACGGCGGCGGCAGCAATGATCATCGCAGTCATGGTTTACTTCCGGCCAAGGGCCCGCCGCCGTCGTCGTCGTCCCAGCCGCACCCACCCTCTCCTGTAGGGAGCAGCGGCACCCTGCCCATTGGCAATTCTAGCGGAAGTGTCGGCAATCCCGGTACCAGTAGTGGCCTCGCGAGCCGCACTCAATTCGCCGGCCGATTGAAGCTGATCGAAGTTAACGTGAGTAATTGATCTTGTTTTTTTTTTTTTTTTATTTCCTATCTTTGTCGCGAGCGATCTTTTCGCTACGTGTCGATCGCCGCTGTCAGGTGACTCGAATCGTTTTGGGCACGCTTTGCATGCGCGATGGCCGTCTGTTCCCCCTGAGAGTGGACGGTAATGGCTTTTCGGAGGTAGGTAACGGAGGTTTGATCGTTTCGCTTCGAGTGGAGATTGTTTGCACGCGGGGGTGTCCCGGAAGTCGCGTGTTTCCTGTGACATAGATACCGGTGGAGTACCGAAAGAACGGCGATAGCGATCGAGAGGCATTAATATAACAGTTTACGTCATGGAAAGCATGATAAAGAGTTCCGTATCGACAGGAATTATGTTCCGAGAATCAGTCACGAATATGGAAAGAGAGAATCTACGAAAAAAAGGAACGAGGTCGTAGATAAAAATACATATAAGGAAATGTAAAAGGTGATTTATATACTTTTTTTCATTCATTTTATTTTGACGTAAAAATTATAGTTTTTAAATTAACTTAATATTATTTAATACGACAGAATATCAAAGTTTTCCTCGTTGTACTTTCATTATTTTTATACCACTCTACCACGAATGAGTGAATTCTGAACTGACTAGTATGAAAAATGATCGCGAATACCGACCCGCAAACACGTGAATGAAGAATGCTTGTACATAATTTCTGGAACATCTCGCGTGCACGAGGAGCAAGAAGATTAATCTGGGGCTTGAAGGCATTCTGATGGTATTGAGAAATAATTAATCGCTCAATAATTTCTATAATTGATGCGTTTGGCACTAAAAAAGTATTATGAATATCACCCTGAATAAATAATTTTGAATCAAACTATTTTTTTGAAAAAAATTTGAAAAATTTTGAATTCTCAAAGAATTTTTGTTTTGAAAATCAGAGAATCATGGAATTTTATTGCGATTTAAAATTTTGTAAAATTTTTTTTTAAATTTTAATTTTTGCAAAAAAAATTACCTTTGGTAATTTTACCTTTAAGATATTAGGCTGTTTTTTCCCTTAGTGATTACAAAACATTAAAAAGTGCATAATGAAATGATTAAACCTATTTTAAAATTCTATTTTAAAATTTTCTAATTTTGTCTGGAATTTTAAACAAAAAATTCTTTTTATTTTTTGAATAGACTCTGTAAATCTTTCGCGTTATTTTTTTTTTTTTCCATATCTTTCATATTAGCTTCTCGTGCCACTATAATAAGAAATTGATAAAAGCTTTAGCAGAAATATTATTTTTGAGACTAATTGATCGTTTTTCACATTTGGTGGATCATAATAAAAAAAACGCTCATCAGAATTTAAACGCGAGCGAAAGCGTTGTTCTCTTGTCGTGCTGGTTGCATCGATTTTTTTGTTTAATGCATTATCAAATTTACGTGATATTAACGATAAGTGCGCCAGTCGCGGCGGTGACGTGGCAGCGATGCCAGACTCACAAAGTCTCAAACTACTTTAATAGCACGTCTCGCCAGAGTTGCGATTATTTGTCACGTAAGAAGATTAAGAGCGAAGTTTCCGCGGCGACCGACGCTATTGTCGCGCGTTACTAAATGAGACGCTGTCGAAATTAACAAGTTGCTGGAAATCATTATGCTTGCCGATAATCCCCCCTACTCCTAATTATTCTTTAGAGGGTCCGTTACAGTGCGACATTGATGCTGGTAAATCGAAGCTCTCGATTCTTCTCGTTATTATTCTCACAAAGTCGGATCATTTAAAATTTCAATTAATTAAATCGAATGCATTGTGTACCAATCACAAATTTTTGTGATTGGTACAATGAATAATTCTTATAATAATTGTAACAATAATTTTGAATGTGTGAGGAGCAAACACTTTTCTGAAAAATTAAGTAACAATACTCTCAATCGTTCGATTACTACATCAATGTCTCGAATCGATCACTCTTTGACGTCTCAAGCGCGTTCGTTTCCGTGTTCAAACGAGCGAATCACGACGCTTCCTCTCTCCCCGGCCGCAAATCGCGAAAGAAAGATCAAGCAGCCGTGGCATTAATCACCGAGGAGCCATAATAAAGAGGTTATTATCCTCCTCCACCTCCTGCTTCTCCCTCCTCTCTCTCTCTCTCTCTCTCTCTCTACCCCTTTCTCCTTCACGCCGACTCTGAATTTCCATTCCGGGATCATCCGGCGAGTATCAAACGAAACCAGTTGGCTCGACAGGCTCTCGTTGACAGAGAACGAATTGCTTTTCAATGGAAATCTAGCTGGGCGAGGGTGGTCCAGATCGCGGGGGAGGGATAAGGGGAGGTCGGAGAGTTTCGAGTCGGCGAGCGCTATTACGTCTAACTCCTCGAAGTGCAAATTTTCATTGAGATTGACTATCGATCGTGTCTCCTTCTTCGTGTCCCTCTCGTCTGCCCTCTTCTCCTTCCCCTCCTTTCTTCATCACACGTTGCCCATCTTTGAAGGGAACTTCTCTTTCTCCGGGTGTACTTATACAATTAGAATCAATTGGGGATGTGAGGAGGTCCCGCGTTTCTCTTTCCTTTTTCGCATTCTCCCGGAAAATTGATTCCCGCCCGTCTCTTCGCCACCCTCCACTTCTACCACTCCAATGTTCTTTCTCTTCTTTCTTTGACAATGGGCGCCGGATCGCTCGCTGTCGAGTCATTGGCCATCCGTCCTCATCCGCGAAATTAGTTTGGAATTACGCGTAAAGAAAGGTAAAGGGGAAAAGAGAGATGTGGGGGTTGACAACCAGGGGTAAATTCGCAACCTAAGTATCGTCGTTAATGAAAACAATCTCGAGTCTTTCTCGCGTCACCTTTTCTCTAATTTCTTTTTTTTTTTATTTTCCATATCGTTCTTTCTTATTTTGATTTAGACACATGTCCTTTTATTTGCGAAACGTAAAAATCTGATATTATTTTATTTTCGAAAAACGGTTCGCTACCGTAAGCTTTTGTTGTGGAAATAATTTAAATCTATTACCGTTGATAATAGAAATAAAATAAAAACGATTAAATCTCAATTCCGATTAAATAAAATACGCGGGCAGGTTTGAATAAATTCTTTCAGATCCGTAATAATTTGAGCGTGCCGTATATTCTCTATTTATCGCGTCTCGTCCCTCGCAAGCGTGATAATACGAGCATATCTCTGCCTCCTTTTTCTCGGCTCTCTTCGGCTTTCCCGTTTTTTTTTTTTTTTTTTTCGCTTCTTCCTTTTCCGTGATTATCCAGTCTCGTCTGCCTCCGTTTTCCGGTTCTTCACGATGCGGTGTCCTCCGGCTAAAAGTTAGTAGACACTCTCAACCCTTCCCTCATATTCCCTCCACCCCCGTCATCCGGTGCTTCAGCCATCTCACGCATTCTCTATTGTTCCCGCGTTTTCTTTCTGGGAATGACTACTCGCTGTTATTCGTAATACCACCCTTTTAGAACGTGTCCTCCCGCTCGTCTCACTTCCCACTCCGCACCCTTTTCAGCGTTTTTCCTCCTCGGCGGTGTTTGATTAATGATCGCTCGAGGAGGCTCGTGATAAATCGCGTAGGAATCTCGCGAGGAAGGCGCATTCGTCTGTGTAAATTAATCCCGCGAACGCGCGAGAAGAGATCAGTTTGATTTACCGGGGAAGTGAATCTCGTTCAACTTTGCATTGAACATTTACCGAAATTCGAGCGTCACTTTTCTTCCACCGTGAAACGGTTTTTTCATTTCGACCTTAGAGGAATAATTTCTATTATTTCGTTTAGTTAGTTATATTAATAAATATATGTGCACAAGAAGTTACACCGGACGATCTAATTGTTTTTAATTTTCTTTTTTTTCAGGGATCTAGTTCTCGACCGACGATCGACACTCCGGATGTAGAGAACATTCTGAAGGTAAGAATAAAGAGTCAACGATTCTATTAGAAAAAGTTATTATTAGAATTACAACTGGTAAACCGGCACGCGACAAAACCTTTCCTGCAGCGTACGCACGGAGTATTATATAAATCAATTTTCCGATACATAAAACATTGCGAAATGTAAAACTTCCGCCCGCGGAAAGGGGTTCGCTCTAAGGATTGATCGAACAGCAACCTGAACACTCGCTTCTCCCGCGGACAAACACAAGATCGGGCGTTGCGAGACGTACGATCGTCGAGTTATATCCAATGTCGGGCCTCCCTTCCCCCGGCTCGACGGGGAGGCCCGTGCTCGATCAATAAGTCAATCTTCTCGCCGATACGCAAGGCTATCTTGTGTAGAATCGATTTACCATTCTTCCTTCAGCTCCGGCGCGTTCGATCTTCGACGGCGATATTATGTCACGCCTTGCAGAGATAAGCGGTCTCGATTTCCCGTTAATCGAAACTCCACGAGAAGCGCAAAGCACAACGCCCGTGGACGGCGAATTTTCGTTAACGACGACAGATCTCGGTGCTTACAAGCGCGAACGAATCTATATATATATATATATATATATATATATATATCTCGAGCCAAGGGAAATTTACCTCCCATTTTTAGAGAGATTAAGCAAAGAAAGACGCGACGAGATTTCTCGTCGAAGTGCTCCCAGGTAAGAAAGATCGCGATCGCCTTTTTCGCCGAAACGACCACGTTCGACTTCTGTCGATTTCTAAGCTACGAATCCTCCTCCACCGCTCGCTCCCTTCGTTAATCCAGAAATTAAGAAAGGAGATTGCATTTATCTTACTTGCCAGTGATCTTTTATTCGCGAACTTTTTCCCCGGCGCTTCCTGCAGAAGCTCGCTCTACGAAGCGAAAAACTGCGACGAAAGCACCGTTATCGCTCGTGGTTTACCGAGACTCTACCCTCGGGTTTCTTTGGCTCCTCGTTATTAATTAGCGTTGATACGGTCAAGTGTACCGATCTTAATTATTGGCCGGGTAACTCGTGCGAAATTTTCAGGTTACCGGAGGAAACGCGATTAAACATTTCAATGAGTTCAATGAGGTGTTTTATATTCGCGCGTTCGATCGAAGTTGCTTTACTGTCTCCTACGCGTACAATGACGCTCGTTAATAGAAAATTTATTAAAGCGTAATCCACGTGGACATTCCCAGGCAGTCTTGTCGCATGAAACTTGCTCGGCGGTAGATGGCTGATCCATACGTATGATTATATTTATTGCATTATTTTTGTATACGTGCTCGCTGCGCGGCACGCGATGCACTTCTACCGATATCAATTTCCTTTAAATATTAATCTCACGAAATTGTGTATATAAACAGTTTCTACAATGCTTATAAAGATAGTGGAATACACGGAAGAAGGCGAAGACGCATCGTTATACTTCTTGATTTTGATCGACCGTAAGTTAAAAGCGTATTTAAGATCATATATGAAGAATTTTCTTACTAAGAATTGAAAAATTTTACAATTTTTTATTAAAGGCACTAGACCAAAACAAACACGAAAAGATCATAGTTTCTTTATGGGAAACATTTGTTAAAAATCCGTTTTTAAATGACGAGTCTTAAAATGTTAATTAAAGTGACACGACATGTGAACATACTTTTTAATATTAAAATTTGATAAAAATATTATATCTTTCTTTAAAATCGCAGCTCTTTAAAACAGCTGATATACATCAGTAAATTTTACATTAATATTTGTACTTATAACTATCTTAAAAGAAATTGTTATTCTACTTATAGCTCACATTCTTGCGACATTAATAATGTGATTTTTGATAAAGTCTATAAAAAAACATTTTTAATTTCATGAATATTTAACATGTCATAATTTTTACTTGATACTATCGTAAGTATATAAGATATAAGATTAAGTAGAATAAGGTTGGCCAAGTTAAGATATGGATGGATGAATGAGGTTAAGGACTTGCTTGTTGAAACCAAGCTTCTTGACTTCTTTCTCTTCGTGGCTGTAAAGTTTGAAGTAACAAACTATACAAATTTATTTATCGCGATACTGTGTGAACAAATTTTTATTTTATTTAAAAACTTTAATACACTCTAAATATATTATTCACTTGTCCAATTATTAAAACTCGTTTTTCAGAATTGATATTTTTATTTATTAATGCCGCCGCGGATGACGCGACGTCTCTATAAAAAGTAAATAACCTGTTGTGCTATTTAATATTTAATAGATTCTTTTATCACGCGGTAGTGAGTAAACAAGCGTGCACCGTTATTCGCGCTCCAACGATACGATTATGACAATCGCCTCACGCGAGATCGTAAATACTTTCCTAAACGCCAGCGGCAAAAACTGCAGCCGCGCGCAAACAGCCGTGCTGCTTTCCGCGCGGTGAGAAAACGGAATTACGGTGGTAAAGAAACGCGTGGTCTTTACGCGAAGACTCTTCCCCCCCTTCTCTCCCCCTCCGACAATGGAAATGCTTGCGCGCCTTCCTCGCTCTTCTGCCGCATCGTGGAAAGCGTCTTGTACACGTTGGTTCGCGATAGCATCGGTGGCGAGACACGCGAACTTGGATTGCTTCTTCGAAGCGGGAAGGAATCGAGATAAAAAAATAAAAGACAAGTAACACAACTATCTTTCTCTTTCTCTCTCTTTTTCCTCTCTCTTTCTCTCTCTCTCTCTCTCTTTGAAATTAATTTGCGTGAATCTTTCATAAAATTAACGATAGATAGATAAATATCCCAACGGGATAGCGCGATTTTCATACAATTGAATTATCATATATCCGTCTGCCTAGATCACACAGGGTTCATCTTCGTCGCCGAACGGTACGATGACGTCTTGTTTCAAATTATTTCTCCGGACACGTTTAAACTTCGCCACGAAGCGTTAAATTAAAAAAAGGCGGAAACGCCAACGGCATCGCAACGCTCGCGTTAATTTCCTCGGAGCGCGTGGCGCGACGATATTAGAAAATTAGAAATTATAAAGCGTCGCTCGATTATGGGGGGCATGATATCAATGAATACAGCTGGCGACTAAATTATCCGGTATAAGTAATTACGGTCGTAAATGCGATTCAGCGGCGGAAGGGCGAGCGTTTTCAGGACGACACGTGAATTTATGGCGCCATTCGCGCGAACGGCGCACGTGCGGGCGGCGCCGAGCCGCCGGTCTCTACGTGAAATTTCCACGAGTGTGCGGAAACGGAGAACGAGCTTGGTGCCCTCTGACACGTTCCCTCGGCATCGTGTCCGACGACACGATGATTCACGCCGCCGGTCGGTTGTCGCGCTGCTCTCCCGGCGTGATGTATCCCCCCGCGACATCGGGGGCTCGAAAATAGTTCCGCGTCCCGCAGGATGCCCCTGATCCTTTGATCGCCGACGAATCCACGGGCACGGGGAGGAGGGTAATTCCGGACGCGCCGCGCCGTTCGTTGTTCTCTGAATTCGACATTCGAGTATATAACGGGATTTCAGCAGTCTACCTCTACTCTACCGCCGCCACTACCGCCGGGAGGATCAGCGAAACGAGTTAGGGGTCGACGGGATCGTATGCTAATTTATGGATATGGTTTAATGGCGATTACCGGCTCCGATAGCGCCGAATCCCAGCAGTCGTAACGTTGTGACAGTATCAATTCTATCCCCCGCGTTTCAGATTGACGTCGTCCCGACACTTCGCTCGCTCATGATTGATACCTCCGTCTCTGTAAGGACGTGCGTTGCGCGTGGGCGTCTGTGTACAATCGAGATTTCCTCCACATTTCCTTCACGACGTCTCAATCACAGCCAAATTTGTGAAAGAATAAAATTTCGATAAAGTTTCGGTCGGTAATTTTACTTGATTTTGAGTTTGAATCTCTTTCTTTCGCATTAATGGAAATTTCGTTTCAAGTTTTGCGTCGGGTATTGTGGTATCTTGCATTAAGAACTCGGAAGTCACAAAAATGAGAGGCAAACACGATGCGAAAGAGCGGCACACAAGGTGCCGGGCGAAAACGCAATATTATTAATTCTTTCAAAGAGGGAGCGGCCGGTAAAAAGAGAAGCCGCTACTGTGCATCCCCATTTGTTTAACGAGCCAGACTCGTACAGAGAAGCGCGCCGCCCCCGAGGCTTTTCCACTTTCAGCACGAATTTATGACGATCCTGGCTGCCGAGTAGCCGGTACAGTTCTCTGCCTCTGAAATCTCTCCCTTTCTCCCTCCGCCCTTGTTCCTCCTCACCCCTCCCGTCTCGCGGCAGTCGTGCCGGCGTTCGGTGCAGGAGCACCGTCAGAAGCCCATGAATTATTCTCACGGCTCTGCCCGTGGGAAAATACGAGAGTTGCGCCAGTAGGCATCGTAAATGCGACTGCTAATTGCGCTTGCCGACGTCGACGACGACGACGACGACGACGACGACGACGACGACGACGACGATCGCTCTATATTTTTGTCGATATGATTTGTATCAAATGACGGTAGTTGAAAACTAAGTATATTCCATCATGTAACAAACGTGATTTTTATTTGAGACTAAGGCCTTCGATGACTAAGATCTTCCAATCTTGAAACTTAACACTTCGGTTGACTAGCTC